CGAAATCTTAGTGTAGGTTTGACTTGCATTTCTCTAATTGCTAAATATGTTGAGCATCTTTTTCTTATTTGTTTGACCATTCACATTTCTTCTTCTGTGAAGTATCTTAGCCCATTCATTGATTGGATTATTTGGATCTGAGGTAGTACATTTTTTACCCTTTTGACTTATAGTGTCCCTGAAGGCTTTCCTTAGCCCATTTATTGATTGGATTATTTGAATTTGTTTTGTTAAGGTTTTTGAGTTCTTTGTATATCCTGGATATTAATGTTCCGAGTGCAGATGGAAAAGATTTTTACCCATTTTGTAGGCTCTCTATTCATGTTCTCAATTGTTTCCTTTCCCGTGAAGGAAAAGGAAACATATCAAAACATTTATTTTGATACCATTCCATTAGTTGATTCTTGATTTTACTTTTTGTGCTTTAGGAGTCTTATTGAGGAAGTTGGTTCCTAAGCCTACATGGTAGAAAATTGGGTCTACATTTTCTCCTAGTAGGCATAGGGTATCTGGTCTAATTGCTAAGTTCCTGATCCACTTTGAGTTGGGTTTTGTGCAGGGTGAGAGACAGGGGTTTAATTTCATTTTGCTACATATGGATTTCCAGTTTTCCTAGCAATGTTTGTGGAAGAGGCTTTTTTTCCAGTGTGTGCTTATGGTAACTTTGTCTAGTGTAAGATAACAGTATTTATGTGGCTTTGTCTCTGTGACTTCTATTCTGTACCATTGATCTATGTGTCTGTGTTGGTGTCAATACCATGCCATTTGTTATTACTCTGGCTCTGTATTATAATTTAAGTTATGATATTGTGATGCCTCCTGCTTCATTCTTCTTGCTAATGATTGCTTTAACTGTTCTGGGCCTTTTATTTTTTCAAAATGAATTTCATGACTGCTTTTTCTGTTTCTATGAAGAATGTCATTGGGATTTTAATGGGAATTGCATTAAATCTGTTTAGCGTATTTGGTAGTATGGCCATTTTGACAATATTAATTCTGCCTATCCAAGAACATGGAAGATCTTTCCATCCTCTTAGGTCCTCTTCAGTTTCTTTCTTTAGTGAAGAAGCAGTTGTATGTAAGCAATTTGCCTGCTTGAGATCCATTTTAGGTATTTAATGGTAGTCTCCTTTCAAAAATTGAAGTTAAGAGAGGTAGAAACTAGAAGCTCCCAGTAACCATATTGATACTTTTTTTAAAACATATTTTTAAGTTGCAGATGGAACAATATCTTTTTTAAAAAAATTATTCCATTTTTATGTGGTGCTGAGGATCAAACCGAGGGCCTCATGCATGGGAAGCAAGTGCTCTACCACTGAGCCACAATCCCAACCCCCATATTGATACTTTAATAAAAAATAATTTCTGTTCTATCAGTTATGGAAAGTGATTCAATCACGTTATGCGAAAGATCATATTTTGTTGTTATTGTTGTTGTTGTTTTGTGATGGTGTCCTTTTATGCTTCATAGGCTGTTCTTGAATTTATGAGCTGAAGCGATTGATCCTCCCCCTCAGCTTTTCTAGTAGTTGGGACTAGAAAGTGCCACCTCACCCAGCATAAAGATCATATTTTAAAGTTCTAACATCTTTTTATATAACTTTCTTCTATTTAAAATACGTGGATTTATTCCAATCTAATGTCATATTTGTTTGGTTGCCAAATAACCATTTTTAAGACTAGAGACATACTGTTCCCAAAACCCTTATATAATTTGGAATAAGTTCTCTCCTAAATGTGGTAAAGAAACATTTTTACTCAGTGTGTACTGTTAGAGGACATTTTAAATAGCACTTATTATTTCAATGTTTACCTTAGCCATTTCTTAATCAGATAATTAATAGTAATGACAATAAGGATAGATAATACAGATTGGTTTCTTATGTTTCCTTACTTAGAACACTTTCAGTTTTGCACAGTCAAGATCTCCTTCCCCATCATGGACAGTAATGTGCCAAAAGGGTGATTCACCAGAGTCTCCACTTACGCTACACCACTGAAATCAGAGCCTTAGGGATAAAAAAGGGAATTATGTATGAGAGAGAAGAATTGAGGCATTTATCTTCTACTGTGAATTGCTTTTTGCCTTTCTGTCATTCCTCTGTTCTTGTGCCTTTACATTCCTTTCTGCGTACTCCCTTTTTCTGTGAAAATCAAAGATTAGGAAATTTTATTGATAGCAAATACTGATCTTTGGATTTAGTAATATGTCAATATGTTTCTATAAGAAATGCTATTTGGCATTACCATTTGTATTTTACATGACTTATATTCTTATTTTTCATATTAAGTCTTTAACATCCATCAGTTATCAATTTTCAATATATACAGCATTTTTGAAACACTTCTTAAAATAATTATCTTGGTTAGTAGTAGGGCAAATAAAAGCATACTAAGAATGAACTAAATTTTCCTACCAAAGAGTCACAAGTTGCAAAAAATTTCACACCATAATTTCTAAAAGAATTACTTGTTACCTCATGATGTTGTGGTCTTATTTTGTGACTATATTCTTGTAGCACTTAATTTTTTTTCTGGTTTCTTACAGCCATGATTTGATTAACTTGTATGTTTTCATAATATTCAGTGTGTTTTAAGGCTAGTAGTTATTTGATATTTTTAGATAAATAATAGACATGGTTAGGATAAAAGCTAACTTCTGAATTTTATCTCCACAAAATATCTTAGTTACAAAAGTATCTTTGTCTAAAATAACAGATTTAGTGCTGAAGTTGTAGTTCAGTGGTAGAATGCTTGCCTAGCACATGTGAGGCACTGGGTTCAATCCTCAGCACCACATAAAAATAATTAAATAAAATAAAGGTATTGTGTTCATCTATAATTAAAAAAAAATCTTTAAAAAGATCCATTAAAATAACAGATTTAGCTTTTTCTGATTCCAAATCACTCAATTCCTCATTACTAAGCACTTTTTTTCCACATTTGGAAAAACATGTTTTTTTTTTTTTAGTCAGCTTCAGAGCAGTTGTTGTGTCTGTCCATGTACATTCCAATTTATAGTGAACCAAAGTCATTTCCTAGAATTTTTCAGTAGTACAATGGCTATATACTTGGGCAAGAATTGATTATAGCTCTGTGAATACAGCCTTAAGGAGAGAGTTAAACAAATAGTGATCTCATAAAATTTGAGGTCATGAGAATCAGATTCACTCCCAACTGATGGTGCTAATTTGGGTAGTAATAAAAAATATATGGCAAAAAAACCCACTAATATTCTCCTTGATTTCAACTAATGCTGATGAATCTATGAAATTCCATGTTTTTCTTATTTATTCAAAGACCCATGAGAAGAAATTATCTCAATAGAGTAATGACAAACACAGAAAAAGAGTATCTGAAGACTATCTGATAATTTGAATATGTACACAAAGATGCAAATTTAAAAGCTAAAGAATATATAAGTGATTTTTATATCTTATGAATGAGCCTCATTTAAGGGTAATATTTTTTCACATGAAATTTTAATTCAGACTGATCAATTATTTGTGCAGAAATTGCACAAGAAGTATGTGAAGAATGATCATTGCCATGAACTGAAACATTCCAACTCAATGAAGAAAAAAGTAGTGAATTTACTTTTGAAAAAAAAAAAAAAGCTTGGAGAGATAGGAAGAGTAGACTTATATGTTAGGAGACCTAGCATACAAAGTAAGTTATTCTTAATGTAGAAACTGATGAATTATCATCTGTATACTTCTCTACCCAATAAAATGGGATAGGTAAATCCCAGCAGATATGTATTATTTACAGAATTTGAGAATTTTGAGGTGTTATTTCTTATCCAGAGCTATCTACTTTTCTGACTTGTAACTGTAATATATTTTTTATTATACATATCTTTGCTGCTTATATACTTATTATTTTTCAGCAGTAATCTTTAAAAAATTCTTGATTAATCAATGGGCACTAAGTCATAGATAGGAGGAAAAAGTTTTGATGTGCTATTGCACAGTAGGATGGTTATAGATTTAACAATGTACCTGAATAGTTCAAAAAACTAGAGGAAAGGATTTTGAATGCTTTGCCATAAGGAAATGATAAGTGTTTTCTCTGATATGCAGATGCTAATTCACAATAAGGGTGGGCTATGGAAGAACAAAGATACTTTGGATTAGGTAGAGGGGAGTAAAGGGAGAGGAGGGGTATGGGAGTAGGAAGGATAGTAGAATGAATCTGACATTATTAGCCTATGCACATATATGACTACCCGACCAGTGTGAGTCTACATCATGTACAACCAGAAGAATGAGAAATTATACTCCATTTATGTATGATGTGTCCAAATGTATTCTGTCATGTATAACTAATTAGAACAACTAAAAAAAGAAATGATAAATGTTTGAAGACATAGATAAATCTTAAATCTGATTTAAACATTACATAATGTACACATATATTGAAACATCATATATCTCATAAGTATATACAATTTTTGTTTGTATTTATCAATTAAATTTTAATTAAATAAGTAAAAAATAAAATAACAGATTTATAATATTTGGCTCTGCTTAATCATTACTACATATTTAGGAATCATATTAGAAGATAAGAGAACTTAAAAAGTAATGTTTTTTTACTGATTGTTATTCATACTTTAAAACAAGTTAAAAATAAGTAGTGTAGGAGAGCTTTACTCTGCTGGGTTGTTCCTGACTCAACTAATGTGTATTATGCACAGGGCTGCTGTGGTAGAGACATTGGCCAAAAGCTATATGTGAAAATAAGCCTGGAAGTGAGGATTAATCTGGTTTGATATTTGCAAATTATTATCTATGTATAGATTTTGTGTCTTTGGTATTGAACCATTGTTTTCAGTGGTTCATTTTAGTCTCTTCAGCTATTTGAATAAAATATTACTTTAAAAATAAGTTAATCACATGAATCAATATTGAGTTACAGAATTTAAATGGCTATTTAATTTTTTCTAACTTTAGGTTGACATAAGAAATTCTGATAATATGTTTTATTTCTCATTATAGAGCCCTGGAGTTGGCTGTAAAATACAAAACACATGTTGATACAGTTCTTGCTTACCGTCAAAAGTTTTTGGAGACCTTTGGTAAACAGGAAACTAATAAACGATACTTGCAATATGGAGAAGGTGTAAGTATTGTACAGTATTAATGATAATGTTATGCCTTGTAAATTTATTTATAAATTATAAAATATTCATTTTAACAAAAATTGAATAATTTTCACTGTCATTTTTAAAAGCATTACTTGTTGCAGTCTTATTTTGTGACCATATTCTTATAGCACTCAATTTTTTTCTGGATTTCTATAGCCATGTTTTGATTAACTCATGTCAATTTGTCTTAAGGTTAGGTGCTATTTGATATTTTTAGATAATAGAAATAGGATAAAAACTAACTTCTGAATTTTATCTTTCACACAGCAGAGGGCACTGGCCAGAAAATGAATGCATACTTTCTTTCTTTGTAGAATCCTAGGAGTTAGGTTCATCTTATAGAACTGCCTTGCTAGGTAGACTTCATTTGCCTAGGACCAAGGTAGGCTCAATTTTTGCCTCCCAGACTCCTACCAGAATCTCAGATTTTACTACTCCAATTAAGAAAAAAAATTCAATATTTATCAGCCCATAAGAAGAGTCAGAACAAGAGAGTTTGCCCTAGTGCCTAGAGCATAACTGACTTTGGCCACTTTCCCAGATGCTACAAGGCTAATTCAACAAATCTCATCTCACTAGCCATATAGATTTATTTTACCAAAGAGCTGTGATTCTCAGGCAGTCTTGACCTTATTTCTAGTTCTTTGAACTAGTTCCCTTACCTTTTCTTCATTCATTGTTAAAAAAAAATAAATTTAAGGATCTCACTCTGGGATAGGCATTGTATTAGGGGGTGAATAAGATACAGCCTCTATCTTGCTGTAGCTTGAGGAATATGTGGGGAATACCTTGGGGTAGAATATTCAGGGGCAGAATTGGAGCCTTTAGAAGAGGAGACAAAATAGATGACACCTATGATTTCTACTAAAGCTAACATTATTTATTCATCATATTTAGAGTACTGAATGTTGTGATCTACATTTATGCACTGCAGAGCAATTTTCAGGGTGGTGAAGGCCTTTAGGGCTATTTTTATTGTTTAGTAATGAAAAACTTCAATATCTGGATCTAGGCGAGCTATAAGTTGTAGGTTTTGTGATAGAAAAGGGGACATATTTTATGGAAGCTCTCGTTTGTTTTTGTTGTTGTTTTAACTTGGAATCTGCTAAATACTGAAGTGAATCATGGGAGTATGGGCTGTAAGGGTCTTCTCTACTACTAAGACAAATTCAGTGTCCCTGAGACTGTAATTATAAAATATGACAGCAGCTACCATTAATACATTGCTAAGGAAATCACCAAATCACCTGATCATTTTGTCAATTTTAAAAATATGTCTATGTTGGGGCTGGGGTTGGGGCTCAGTTGTAGAGCCTAGCATGTGTGAGGCACGAGGTTCAATTCTCAGCAGTACATATAAATAAATAAATTAAATAAATAAAGGTCCATTGACAATTAAATATATTAAAAAATATGTCCATGTTAAAACTGAGCACCTAGCCTAGGGATATAGCTTGGTGATAGAATGCTTATGTAACGTGCATAAGATTATGGGTTCAATCCCCAGCACCACATATGTACATGTAAAAATAAAAAAATGAATAAAAACAACAAAACTGAGCATCCACCTTAAGTTTATTTTATTGTGTAATTTTTAATCAGATTAATGCCTACTCTGCTTTTTCTAATCATCATCATCAGTATTTTTGTAATATTTTCACATTAGGTACTTTCAAGAACATAGAAAATATAGTCATTTCTCTCAATGAAATCTTTTAGATAGCAGAAAACTTAACATCCTTATCATCTTTTTTGTTATGTATATCTTCAACTGTTGCCAAAATATAATATTTCAATCAATTTAGCAGACATTTCCCAAGTGGAATAACCAGAACAACATGGTTTTCTTAGGTATTTTCTTTTCTTCTCATTCTGAAACTATATAGGTTACTTTGAATCCCTGTGGCATTATGTTCCAGTTTCCTACTTTTCTTCTTCATAAAATGTCATTTGGAAGTTAACTAAAAATTATAAAATAGTATTTTCAAATGAAAATTTTTTGAGGTTAAAAATTTCCCACTACTAAGCAGGGCACCTGTCTATAGTCTCAGATATCTGGGAGGCTGAGGCAGGATCCCAAGTTCAAAGTTAGCTTCAGCACTTTAGTGAGGCAAACTAGCAATACGGTCTCAAAATAAAACGTACAATGAGCTATGGCTATGGCTCTGTGACCCTGGACTCAATTGCTAGTTTAAAAAAAAAAAGAAGAGGGCTTGGAGTATAGCTTAGTTTGTAGAGTACTTGCCTCTCATGTTCAATCCCCAATACCACAAAAAAAAAAAAAAAAAAGAAAGAAAGAAAGAAATCCCAGTATTGAGATAAAATTTAACTGTAGGAAAATAGCTTTGGGGGATATCTGTACTACTTGCTGATCGTACACTAATCTCGTTATACTCTATCATCTATATATTTCCCTTATTTCAAAACTAAGTGTTGAATAGACAAGTTTTATTTTAAAATAATATTGAGAGGGCTAAGATATAGTTCAGTGGCAAAGTATTTGCCTTGCTTTCGCAAAGCCTTGGGTTCAATCCCCATTTCCAAAAAAACCAACAAAATAATAATAATTATAACGAGAAGCCAGACATGGTGGTGCACACCTATAATCTCAGCAACTCAGAAGGCTAACACAAGAGGATCATAAGTTAGAGACTAGCTTCAGCAACTTAATAAGACCCTGTCTCAAAAAAATAAAAAGGAATGGGGATGTAGCTCAGTTGTAAACTGCCCTTGGGTTCAATCCCCAGGACCACAATTAATAACAACAATAATAATAATTTCTCTCAATTATATTTTATTTTTAAATTATATTTTATTATCATTAACAATAAAATGGGAATATTAATCATATATTACATATAATAGAGCATAACATATTTATGTTGCATAATATAATCTATATTACCTGATGTATTATATTTATGTATTTATATTATGATTGTATGATAATGTTAATATTATTTATAATAAAACTATTGTTAACATTATTATTATTGGGAAATTTATTCTAAATATCTGGTGAATTCTGTTGGGCTGACAATGCATGCCACATGAATGTTCATGAATAAATGGAATCTACCAGTTATTAGAGAAGAAAATAGATGTTTGATATACATTCATGTTTATGAGCCCTGAAATGTTATTTGGACATTTCTAATTTAAAATATGGAAGTCTGTGATTATACAAGGTGTACTATTTTCCAATAAATCTATTGTTTAGATTCATTGTACGTGGTCTAGAATGAAGTTCAGTAAATATTTACAAAATATGTTGTAAGTCTAGCAAATAAAACCCACTCAAGTAATACATTAACTGTATTTAATACATAACTCCTTGCAAGAAGAAAAGCAAAAGATCCAAGAAATACTTAAAATATTATATTAGGAAAAAGAAAGTGAAAAATATCAAACTCATGAGCGGAAATTGAGAAAGTATAGAATTTTGAGGACAATCCAAAAGAGTCAACACTGCAGTTTGGAAAAATCACTTTATTTAATTACTACCAATGCTGCCTTCAGGTTTTAAAGCTTTACAGCAGGAATTGTTAGGGGATAATTCATTTGCTGGCTAATTATTATCTTTTATTCATTTAGTATTCATCAAGTGCTTCCTCCAGATAATTTTTGTTCTCTTTTTGGTGCCTAGGATAATAATAAGTAAACATGTTAGAAACTGGCCCTGGTTTCATGAAGTTTATGTGCAAATGTAGGTGACAAGTTTTATAGTTGTTAATTTCAATTCTTATAATTGTTTTGAAGGAGGCTAACATGGCAGAGGAAAAGCTCTGAAGTGAGAAAGATTAAAAACAACAGAGAGACTGACTTTAGACAGATTGCAAGTTCAGGTCCAATTTGGACCTGTCTCACAATTAAAAGGGCTAGAGATGTAACTCAATGGTAAGGATCCCTAGTACTGGGAAAAAAAAAAATCCTGATTCCTAAAAATAAATGGAAACTTAAAAATTTCCACAAAATTGTCTTAAGATTTTTGTCATTCATCTAAAGAATATGGGAATAAGAAGGAGCAAATATATGGGGTCTTGAAATAATAGGGAGGAATTCTGAGTGACTGCCCTAAGTTCAGAGTAATTGAAAACTGATTATGACCAGACATTGAAGGGTCTTCATACCATATTAAGGAAATGGACTTTGTGGGCTGGAGATGTGGTGTAATGGTACATCTTTTCCTAGCATCTGCAAGGACCTGAGTTCTATCCCTAGCACCAAAAAACAACCTAACAAAAAAAAAAAAAAAGGACTTCTTAAAAAGGGCAATGAGAAAAGTTGGAGATTTGTTAATCGAGGAACTGACTTGAAAGATAATTTCAGACATGAAAGATTAGAGATGAGGGTGGAAACTAGGAGACCAATTGGGAACTTACTATAATAGCACCACCAGGAGATGGAAGGGCAATATTAATGTAAAAGAGAATTCAACAGTAAAATTAAGAGAACAGTTGTACTTGGGGGTAGGAAGAGAGATGATGAGGTAAGACAAAGCATTTGAGAATGACTTCAAATTAATCTAGATAAAAAATATGTGAGAATATAAAAGTTGTGAAGCTTTGAGTATAAGTAACATGAATATATATATATATATTTTTTTTTTGTTTGTTTGTTTGTTTGTTTGTTTTAAGTTTGAAATGTATAGAGTATCCAGGTAAGCATCTCTGGTAGCCAATTGGAAATATAAATGTGAACATCAAAAGACATTGTCAAAGGAGAAATCAGAGCCAGACAACCAAATTTCTCATGACCATATACTTGAAGATGTATGAATTGCTGGGATCTCCTAGGGGGGAAGTATGAGAAAGCTTTTGTTAGAACCGTGGTGACTATTGACATTGAAGAGATTGTTAAAAGAAACCAAAATTTGATAACCCCAAATGGACCTCTTTGACCTAATATTTTGTTGTTGTTGTTGTTGTTGTTAAAGGCCATTAAGAAGCAGAAAATTGAGGAATAGCTCTTATCC